CAGGAAGTGTCATGGTAGTGGACAGGACAGGTCAGGGTGGGCGGAAGAACTGGCACCAGATTGGGGTCTCCCACCTTCAAGTGTCTGCTTTACCACGCTCATCAGTTGGACACAACACCGAGGCTTGTCCCCTAGATGTCTCCTAGTTCTCAGAAGGTCTGAAACGGTGTTCCTGAAAACCTCTGTGGATCTTTAGCAAAGGATTAAATAAGCCCCAGTTCCCAGCCTGATCACCCAGACAAGCCAGGAGGCATGTTTCAAAAATTAGTCTGAGTTGTGAGGGACCTTGTGTACACACCCAGAGCCTACCAGGACACCGAGTCAACCCATGCATTCCTCTGGGAGGTTTACCTGGTGGCCAGCAAAAACTTTTCCAAGTCCTGTGTGGGCACCAGGTCAATCCCAAATCATTAGGAGTTTTAATTCATTAGAGTTATGCCCCGCGTTGGCCTGTGCTACCCTGGCTGTCTTCACTTTCACTCTCACTTCACTGCCACCCCTCAGCATGTCTAGAGGCAGGTGCACGGACTCTTGATCTGACCCCTGAAAGGGGCTTTCCAGCACTGCACTGAATGCACCGATTCTGTCTGATCTCAGCAGCTATGTGGTCCCAGCTCTGGCGAGAAGCAAAACTTTGGGGCACCAGGTTAAGCCCCAGTCCTCTCTGTGGTGGGGAAGCCCTAGGTCAGACCCTTGGAGGTCGGTCAAGGGCAGGTGACTGGCTTTCTCCTCCCTGCCCTCCTGCCTGCGGCCCTCACCTCTGCTTGCAGGAGGGGCAGCTCTCACCCCCTCCCCTTCTGCCTGCAGTTCCCACATGGGGTCACAGGAGGGCAGCACTTGCAAGATTTAATTCTCCCATGCCCCTTTGGGCAGTCGCTCTCCTGTGTGTCCCCAGGAGGGTGACAACATGCAGGTTTTCCTCCCCTTTTACTTTTTTGGATACTTTTCTGCACCACTGACACCACTTTAGGGCCCTTTCCCTCCCTCACTCCAATGTCAGGAGCTCTAGCTGCAAAGAAGAGCCGTGGCCAGGCCACTGCAACGCCACCTGGGCAGGAACCCGAGCCCAGGGCCTTGATATCAGTGCTCACTGCTGCCCCACGCAGATCGAGGGATGTGACGGGTGCGCCTAGGATGGCTGGCGATCCAGAACGGCCAGTAGAGTTGAGCAAATTGCTTGGCGGGTATGGTGGCTACGACACGCATGACGACATTGAGACCGCCTCCGACCTGCTCTGGATGAGGTTAGTCTCGGACAGCTCCATCAACAAGGCCACAGCCAGCTTCTCTGTCACCTTCAAAGTTACCACAGAGGCGGCATCTCTGGGGGGCAAAGGGGCCCTTCATTGGGATCTTCTTTGGATCATGCGGTAGATGCTGTGCAGCAGGGGCTGGGCTTGCCCTGGTTGGGGGAGAAGCACAGAACAAGCCATCCCTGTGATGCCGCTGGCCTAGTGTGGTGCCTTGTGG